CCGCAGACAGCCTGTCTGTCGGAGAGCTGGGAGCCGCCTTCTATTTTTTTCTTTTCCTGCATGATAATTTTCCCCCCTTTTTTTGTAGCTAAAAATCACCCAGGCTTGTCCAGACGAGAGGGCAGAAAATTATTCGGTGAAAGAGAAGGGAAGATAATTTCTCTGGGTCACAGACGTTCTCACTTGTCATCTGTCGGCAGGAGGAGACTCGAGGAGGGAGGAGGGAGGGCGTTTGCGGGACGGGAATGAGAACCGAATCCATCACTGTCCGGAGCCTCCCCGGGGGGACACAGCCGGGGAGGGCGTGGGGGGCAGGAGGGCCTCGCTCTGTATGGACCCCTGCCCCGGGCTCCCGGCCGACAGGCCCACTTCCCCTGGGCCTCAGTTTCCCCGTTGAGAAAACAGGGACCGCGGCTCCTCCTCCTCTCCTCCTCCTCCTCCTCCTCCTCCTCCCCCCCCCCCCTGCAACTGCCAGCCCTGCAGCACACTCAGGAGATGACATGGAGACGTGCGGACAGCTGGACCCCTGGAGCAAGGGGTGCGGGGGGAGCAGGACTGGGAGCCACTGAGGCAGAGGAAGCCTGCAGGGTGTGGAACAAGCCAGGGCTGGGGCCCATCGCAGCCCTGTCCAAGCCTCAGTTTTCCCATCTGTAAACCGGGGCTAGGAAAGCCACCTGTTTCATCGGATTCATTTTGAGGATGAAGCGACAATTACACACGGTGCGTCTGGGACGGTAACCACCAACGGCACCAGCGACAGAAGTGAGCGAGTGACGGGGGCCAACTCACAGTCCCCCATGCTGTCACCCGAAACTAGACCGGGCTGGAACTCTCAGCAATCCTCCTGTCTTAGCCTCCTGAGCGCTGGGATTACAGGGCGCACCACCACACCCGGCTTCAGCATGTAGAGTCAGGCAGTGGGTGGAATCCTAGCTCTGCACCCACGGCCTGCACTGGGTAAGTCACTTGACCTCCTTGGGCCTCAGTTTCCCCATCTGCAGAAAGCAGCTAGCAAACCCCATCTGGTTGCTGGGAGGATTAGAAATGCCATGTGGAACCTGCCCAAGATGGGGTGACCACAGGTCCTCCACATTCTGTCCACTAAGCACAGGGTGGGATTTCGCTTTGGCAGCCAGGTGGGTGCTGCTGCCATTTCTCAGCTCCACCATGGTGGCCTAGCTGGGAGAGCAGCATAGACAACTGGTCAACAAGGGTGCGCCAGCCCCCACACTGCTTTATAAAAATGAGTGCAGGCCACCTCTGGCCCGTGGGGCGCACCTGGTGGAACCCTGGGCTGATAGCGCAAAGCTGTGAGGCCTGAGGCTGGGGTTGGGGTCCCGAAGTTGCATTCTTTACCCAACTCGCCCCGTCCAGCCACCACCAGATGCCCTTCACAACCTGTCCCTTGTACACATATCTGCTGTCACTCCCTGCTGCCCACTGCTCCCTGCTGGGCTCTATGGTCTTCCAACACCTTGTTCCCTGATGTTTTCTCTGGTGGGAATGCTTTTATTCTTAGCCTGGCTGGTCAGTTTGGAGTTGACCTTCAAGAGTTGGCCTTCAAGAGTTGGCTCCAATACTGGTTTGAGATTTTCAAAGAACTTCGAGAGCACTCCCTAAAGCAAGACAGCAAGTATATAGCACACATCACTCATGCTCTTTTCCTGTTCTGAGGCAGACATTACTAATCAATCTGGCACTCTTTCCTGCCTTAGGCACCCGTTAAATCACACAGAGTTGCTTTTGAGATAAATGCTAATTGCCATGAATGCTAAAAAGAAAGGAAAGCTAGGCTGTAATCAGAGCACTCTGGAAGGCTGAGGCAGGAGGGTGGCAAATTTGAGCCCAGTGACTTAGTGATTGTATTAAGATTTTGTCTCAAAATTTAAAAATGTTTAAGATGGGGTGAGGTGGTGTGGGATGTAGCTCATTGTGAAGCCCTTGGGTCCCCAGTACCAAAAAAGAAAGGAAGAAAGGAAGGTCAAGAAAAAGAAGGGGAAAAGAAAAGAAAGAGAAGAGCTCCTCTAGTGCTGGCTTCTTTTCCTGGCCAGAGAAGTCTGAGGTCTGAGATGACCATGAGGCCATCCCTGTCACAGTACCAGCTACTTGCTAAGAGCCCCTTCCATGGGAGCTCCCATGGTTCCTGGATCCCACTCGGCTCCTGGTGACCCCTTCTAGAAGGTGTGAACCCAGTGCAAAAGCCTGCCTGTTGCACATCCTGACAGGAGCTTCTGGGTGGTTAGATATCAGCCAAGATCCCCAAAATTCAAGGTCCCGTCTGTCCAAGGAGGAAGGATGCAGGTCCTCTCGTGGTGGGGATGTGCAAGAGGCAGGTGAGCTACTCTCCCCTGGCTGTCCAGGGCTCCCTGTTTTAAACATGTCAACACCCCTCCTCTGACTTGTCTTCATTTTTCCCAGCTTGTCATACCTGCCTGTCACAGGGCCTTTGCACCTGCTGTAACTGCTGCCTGAAATGGCTGTCCCTGCCCTCTTCACCTAACTGAGGTAGACTCAGCCTGCAGCTGAGGTAGACTCTCAACTGAGGTGTATGACAGGTCCAGGGGGAAGATGGATGTAATACAAAACCAGGGTGAGGCTGTATCAATCAGCTCCTGCTACAACAGTGCTGCAAAACAAACTGCCCCGCACTCGGCAGTTCCATGCCATAAGCCTGAAGTGTTCCCTGGCCAGCCTCTGCATCATGGCTCTCGGCTTTGACTGGGCGTCTCTCCAGCCAGTGGCAAGTAGTGGGATGGGTGGTAACTCTGCTGACCCAGGCTGGCTGCGCTCCCATGTCTGAAGGTAGCTGGAGGCCAATGGTCTACAATGGCCTCTGCCAGGAAGTTTTGGCTCCTCTCCACACCGTTGCTCATCCTAAAGCAGGCCCTCTGAGCGTCGCTCTCAAGGTGAGAGCTGAGGGTGTGGAGGCTGAAAGGTCTCTTGAGGTCTGAACTCAATTAGCTCGGGGCACTTCCGCAAAGTTCTACTGACCAAAGCAAGCCAGGGGCCAGCCCAGACTCAAGGGGTACGAGACAGGTGCCACGTCTCTATGGGAGGGGCTGTAGGATCCACCCTTCTGTGGGAGGGGCATTAGGCCCCACCCCCATGGGGAGGGGCTGTAGGCTCCACCTTCTGTGGGAGGGGTTGTAGACTCTTCCTTTCTGTATCCACAGTAAGAAGCGGTGCCGGAACCTCAGTGGCCTTCCTGAACATCAGCGACAGGGAGGCTGGGAGGATACCCTCGGCTTTGGGCTGCCCCAGAACTGACTGCAGGGGGCACGATGCCTCCGCCTGGCCCCTGGGAGCCCCCTCTACCCTCCTCCCCCGAGCTGCCGCGAGGAGAGGAGGCAGCGTTCTTCCTCCCAAAGTTTAATTAAGTGATCTGCCGCCACGGGGTTAATCCTGTTATCACTGCCCGGAGCTGACCGCAGGGGAAACCGCGGGCCCGTGTAAAATGTCAGCTGTCTGGAAGGCCTGGTGGGCCACTGAAAGCCACTGGAATTTGGGGGGAGGCAGGGGGTGGGACGGAAGCCAGAGCCCCCACAGGGGCAGGACATCCGCTTTCCAGACGGCACACAAAGGGGCTGAGCCGGGCTTCAATCCCCTCCCAGGAGGGGGTGGGGGTCTGCTGAGAAACTTCTGGCTTGGATGGACTTTGCTTTGGCCGAGGCCCATCAGGCCACCGCAAAATTCCAGAGCAGAAGCCTCGGAAGGCTCACATTCCCTCCTCTTCTGCACTCTCACTGGGAAGAGGTGGAGCCTTCCTGGTCCAGGGCGCACGTTTGGGGGCTTGGGCTTGGATTCTATATCAGTCATACCTTGTGTGGCTTCAGGCAGATGATTTAACCTCCCTGGGGCTCCGTTTCCTCATCCGCACAATAGGTGGTAATGCCCATCTTCCAGGGTCCCCAGAAAGATGCACGAAAGTGCCTAGCAGACCTCTGCATGGAGCGGGCGCTGCCTCCTGTCATTAATACACTGCATACCCAGAATGATAGTCTTTGTGTCCCCTGTGGCCAAGGACTCCTTGGGACCCTCTTAAACCAGGGCCACTCCGGCCATCCCCCGAGGGGAAGCAGAACACGGGCTGAGTGACCGCACAGGCAACCTGGGGCATGGCAGGCACCGTGGAACCTCTTCACACATGGCCCATTATTCATTCGTCAACAAGCAGTTGTTAATGCAATTTTTCCTCATCTATTAATGCATGAGGGACGACTGGATGATTCCTTCTTGCTCGAATCCATTTCTGTATCTGTCCTGGGGAAACTGAAATCGAAGCAGAAAAGGCTGGGGTTTGGGTGCTGGACTTCCCAGCTGGGGAAGCAGGCCAGCCGCTTCCCCCTGGGAACCCACCTCGATTTTCCCATCTGCCAAGTGGGAACGGTGTCCTGTGCTTCCCTCCAGGGGCCTGGGAGGATGGCAGAGCTGTGCGCTGTTGTCCGGCAGACAGCCACCCCCAGAGCCCGGGAGGAGGCAGGTCTACCCTCTGCCACCGTGGTCTGGAGGAGTCATGCAGAAATGGCAGCCCCACAGCACTCCATAAAATCCAAGTGGCCGTTAAGTTGGACTTCCGAGTGAACGGGAGTAATTAGCGTGCTTCCCACAGAGTAAAACCCAAATGTCAGACAATGCTGGGCCATTAAAGCGTTCTCTGCTCAGCTGCCACCCTCCTGCCCTGCTTAGGTGGTCCCCACCCCCTGCTGACCTTCGAAAGGCGGAGGACAGCAAAGCAGGAGGACCAGGGATGGGCTTTATGTTCTGCTGGGCCGGGACCAGCATCCCTGAGCTCATGTGCTTCATCCAGTGCCCAAGAGGGAGGGTTGTAGGAAGGATTCGTGTGGTCCTGTCTCTAGCAGGGGCACCTGACCAAAGTGCTAGCTCTTGCTGAGGACTGGGTGAATCAGCATACTGTGTGTGCTGTCCGAAGAGAGGGCTGGAGCAGGGGAGGCAGATGAGGCTCCTAAGGCACGAACTTGAAGGAAGATTCTCACCTTAAAGCTGCGCAAGTATCCACCTGGCCTCGCTGAAAATCCGGCCAGGTGCTGTGGAGCACATCTGCAATTCCAGCTACTCACTAGGCTGAGCCAGGAGGATCACAGGTCTGAGGCCACTTTGGGAGATCTAAAGGAGCCTGTCTCAAAATAAAAAATGTAGAAGGTCTGAGCTACAGCTCAGTGCTGGAGCGCTTGCCTAGCATGCATCAACCCCTGGGTTCAATCCCCAGTGCTGGAAAAAAACAAAACCAAACTCTGGAAACCAGTGAGACAATGATCACTCAGGAAAGCCGTGGACACCCTGACACTCCGAGGGGAGGTGGAAGGTCATGGTTCTGAGACTGATCTTGTGTTTGTGGAGACAGAACTGAGTTCAAATCCTAGGGCTGCCACACAAAACTGTGACTTTGGGCACGTTGGCTCGCTTCTCTGCCCCTCACTTCCTCATCTTTCCCACATGCCCAGTGAGAACCCCTCATAGGGCTGCTGGGACATTTGCTGGCATCATGTGCAAGGACTTGGTACAGAGTAGGTGCCTGATAGGGCTGCCCCCCTCCCGACTCATGTTGAGGCTTTCTCCCCAGTGGGACGCTGTTGGGGGGTGACTTCTCAGAGGTGAGGTCTGCCAGGTGGTGCTTTGGTAGAGTTGCTAGAAAGCCTGGCACCTCCCTAGGTCCTGGGCTGATGCTCCTGCCAAGTAACACCACCCACCATGAGGCCCTCATGGAGCCCAGTAGGCGGACCTGCAGGGGTGGGAGCTCAGTAAACCTCTTTTCTTTAAACCATCCAGCCTTGGGCATTCTGTTACAGCCACACCAAGCAGACCAAAACAGTGCTCCAGAAAAAGTGATCACTGTGACATCCTGGAGAGCACTTGAAGTAGTTTCCTGAAGGTGCTGGAGATGGGATGTCTCCTCGTCTCTGCTTTGTGGTCCCATCCAGATACTCTGATGATTCTGGTTTTGTTGTTTATGACACAGGGTCTTGCTATGTAGTTCAGCGGGCCTTGAACTGTGTATCCCAGGCTGGCCTTGGACTTCTGGTGATCTTCCTGCTTCAGCCTCCTGAGTTCCAGGATTACAGGCATGTGGCACCATCCCCAGCTACCTTGATGACTCTAATTCTCATGGAGGGCATAGTACAATCAGTGATTAATATCTAAGGTGGATTCATTTCATTTATTTACAATGAGCAGATGAATCCACATCTAAGGGATCTTTGGATCCAAAGTGTGATAAAATAGGCTGTACATAGTGTATCCCATTCCATAAATTGGCCTAAACAGCTAAAAGAAAAATCACATGTGACACAGAGCCATCCATCAGGAGGTGTGATGACCAAGCTGACTTTGAAAGCCACACCTGGCTAGGTCTGGTTCCACCACCAGGGTGTGGCTTACAGCACCCACTTTCCTTGTCTGTCTGCAGAATGGCCACTAACACTGACGAAGCCCTAACTTTGACATTCACTGGGTAGAACTAGTATTTATTTACAGACCCCCTGAAGTCTGAAAGACCAATATTGGGATGATTAGTCTCTAGGTGTGTGGCAGGGGGAGCTGTCCAGAGGGAAGGCAGATTGGCAGCTTTCAGAAGTGGAGGCCATGCTAGGATGAGGGAAGGATGGGTGATTCCACCACAAGCCTGAGTGTAAATAATGTTATGAAGGTCGGCCACTGGGGTCTCCCAGGAAAGAAAAAATCTGCTCTCACTTTTAAGGGGGGAGGGAGGCTTTTTCCATTTGGGGACTCTTGAGGGATCCAGCCATGGGTCTTTTTGCCTTTTCCACAGTCTCTTGCTACACATTCAACACCATTTTCTGAAAAGTATTCCAACCCCTCATTCATTCCTGGATAGTCATGTGACCAAGATTTGACCAATCAGAATATTCCAGCCCCTGAACTACACTGATTGGTTCTAGGATGGGCACATGACCAAGCTGTTGGGATTGGTGGAGAGGAGCGAGGCAGGGGACAGCAAAGGACTGCAGGAAAGATCATGCGGGGGGGGGGGGGTCTGATAATCAGGTCTACACCTGAGGAGCAGAAGCTGGCCAAGAGAGAGAGACACCCATTTCAGCCCCTGGATCCAGCTGCACCTGAAGCCATCCACTCTTGGATTTGCATTTCTTTTTGCTTAATTCATTGTGAGTTGAGTTTCCCTGTGGCCACCTAAAAAGCCCTGTAGGACACACACCTCAGGACCATTTGCATTTTCCCCCAGGGGACACCTTCTTCCCATCAGCACAGGATGCCGGTGTCAGGCACCAGTGTCCAAGATGTAACATCAGACAGGCCCCGCCACTCCCTCCCTGCCTCCCCAAGCTCCTGTCAAGTCTCAAACCTCAGTTTTCTCACTGTAAAATGAGGCTAGTCACATCCTCCTGGTGGCACAGACACAGTGCGCAGAAGCCTTTAGACTTTGCAAGTGCCGCTCCCTCCACCCGGAGTGCCCTTCCTCCCCTCTCTGCTGCCTCCCATCTCCTCATGGTTCAGGACAGGCCCTTCGCCAGGGCTACTCCTCCACCCTTGTTGACTGAGTTGCTCCCTGAAGTCATCCTGCCCTTGCTGGCTCTTGTCACAGACTCTGTGTCATCATGCATGATAATGGTTGCTGTCTGCCTCCCACCCTAGAATGTGAGGTCCAAGTGGGCAGAGAAGGGCTGGGCTCCGATCACCACAGTGTCCCTGTGCCTCTCGTCCCTTACTGCTGTTGGGCTGGCTTCCAATCACAGTGTCTGGGGGCGTGGCAGCTCCGTGACTTGGCCAAAGAGAAGGCAGGCTCTGAAGTCCCCAGAGGTGATCATTCCGACAAGAGTCCTCGTGCCTTACTCCACCTTAAACCAGGGGCAAGAAGAGCCAGCCTCCTTGGTCAGCCTGAGCACACAGACGGCAGGTCTGTGTCCATTAGCCAGGGAAAGCTCACTGTTCCCTGGGTCTGGGAGGGAGGCAGCAGTGGCCCCCAGGTGGAGAAGGAACCTTCAAAGAACCCTGGGCAGGATGAGCTTAAAAATACAGAGAAATGGGGCCGGGGATTTAGCTCAGTGGTTTCGCCACCTGCTGCGCAAACGCAAGGACCTGAGTTCGATCCCTGGTAACAAAAAAAAGAAAAAAAAGTTCAGGAAAAATACAGAGAAATTCTGGGCTGTTGTGGACCTCAGGGTGAACATACCTGCGTTTGATAGCTGTGTGGCTTTGGGCAAGCTTGGTCCTTCTCCGAGCCTCGTTTTTCTAATTCAATGGAGACCGTTTTCTGTGGTCCCCAGCACAGGGAGCGGACAGACAGGGTGGGCCCTGGCCCACTGCCTCACTTGCTGTCTTGTGCCCAGTTTGCTTGGCAGTAGGATGAGGCAGTGAGGAATCTGACTCCCGAGGAGGTTGGGAGGCTCCATTTGATGACAAGAGCAGCATCTGAGCCGGGATGTAACACGCACTCTCAGGGCCGCCGGATGCTAGTTCCGCCTTCCTATGATGAGAAGCAATTTAGCATAAGGTGTGAGCTGGCTTATGGCCAGCAGTGCATGGGGGCCGATCCGTCCCTCTCTGTTCTGCTCTGTGCCCTGGCTGGGCCCGCTAGCTGACCCGCCCCAATTAGGTGACTCTTGTGTTAATATTGACACACAAAGGCGCCAGCTGGTGGCCTCTGACCTCTTCTCACTTGGGATCGCAGGCTGACTTGGGCCCCAGCCCTCAGCTCTGAGAGCAGGACTCATAATCTCCTTTGACACCAAAAGGAGTTGAACTCCCCTGGCCTTTGCTCCCGGCCGCCCTGGCTTCCAGTATTTCCAGGGCCTGACGGGGGTCCTGTTGCTCACAGTATGGGAGGCGGCCCACATGGGCCGGGGTGGCCACCGGGAGAAGGAACGGGGCAGGGCAGGGCGGCAGAGGGCTTTGGCTGGAGAAGGCTCCCTGGCTTCCGAGTGAAGAGGGTTTGCAGTTGCCCAGGGAAGAGAGGAAAGCGGCTAGAACCAGATGCCGGCAGGGGGTGGAGCTGGCGGAGACCTGGGAATGTGGAATGTGTAGGCCTCACTGAGGGACACTGGAGGGGCGTGGCAAGGAGAGTCGCAGGCTGATGTCTCTTTTCAAACACACGCAACTCACGGGTTTGTCCCAAGTTACTTGGGGCTCACGAGGAAGGGGTTCAAGGGCCTCCCCCATGGTGCCCTCCTCTGTGCCTGGAATTCAGCACCTCTGCCTGCTGTCTCCACCCCAATCCAGCACCAGCCTCAGCCTGCCTGGCCCCCAGCACTGAGCTCAGGAAACAGACCCTGAACCCGGGTGATGCCCAGGAAGGGTTGCCATAACAACAGATGTGATGTTGAACAGAAAGGGGGAGTCTCGCTGACCAGAACCCGGTCCACGGCTTCCCGGGAGAAGGGGGCACAAGCTGTAAACTGTCCTTGGACCTGTCACTGGGGACTTGGCTCTGGACAGCCCACCAAAAGCAAGGTTTTTAGCGGCTGTGACTGTGACAGGGATGCCACGCCACTAGCTGGCCTCCTAACAGAGCTTCCTGGCCCCTCCAGCTCTCTGGGCGGTGCCTTCCAGGGCAGCCCCTTTTGGGTGGCAGACGGCTTCCAAGTTCCACGTGAGGCTTCCCTCTCCTGCGCTGCTGTGCATGGAAGTGGAGCGAAAGGCCTGGGGTCACAGGTGGGAGTGAGGAAGGATGAAAGAAACGTCAACAGGACAAAGGTCAAGGTCGAGGACTCCTGGTTATGGCTCTGGCTCCGCCACTCACTGGCTGTGTGACGTTGAGCCAGTAACTTACCCTCTCTGGGCCTCATTTTTCTCATCTGCAAATCAGGATGGATGGCACTGGCACTCAGCTTATCGGCTTGCGGCGAGGACTAAATGAGAGAATGCATGCTACCTCTTAGAGCAGTTCCTAGGAGAGCATAAGCGCTCAATTCCCTTGACCTCTTCCCTTCACCAGAATCACCTCTTCAGGGGAAGAGAGAGCCACACATTTCCGGGCACAGAGACCCAAGAAATGAGAGGATGCAGAAAAATGTAAGAGTGCAGGCCTTGGAATCGGGTATTTGGGGAATGAGAAAGAAGGGTGCTTTTCAAGTGTAATCTGCAGTGGGCAGTGAGCTTCCGGGAGCAGCAAGCAGGTCTGTCTGATTTACCTCAGTTTCCTCCAAAACCTGGTGGCACGGGCCAGGTACAAACTCTCACTTCCAGTCTGAAGATGGGATTGACTGTAAGGGGCGCCCTCTGTTTAACGATGCATTTCTAGCCAATAAAAGTGGGTGTGGATAGGAAATATATCCCAGTTTCCAAACACTGAAAAGAAAAAAAAATAGTCGATCTTACAATGGGGTAAATAGAATAGGTCTCAGGAAGTGGTACTCGACTCTGTGAATGAATGAATGCATGAATGAATGCATGATCTTGGGAAACACGCAAGTATGGACAGGAAAAGTGAGGGAAGGGACACACGTGACTGCGTATTGTATCTAGGCTTCCCGGAAGAGCTGGCCTGCAGGCAGTGGGGGAGGTGTGTTGTTAAATTAGGCAGCTGTGCGAGCCCACCGGGCGTCACCTCCAGTCATGAAAGATGTCCTAACTATTCAGGGAGGTGGTGGCTGCTACCTCTGCTCACAGGAGCCCAGGCCGGACCAGACTAGAATGACATGGGGCCCAGGACACAGCACTGGGGACACAATGGCCTGGGTCCTCATCCCAGTTGTGCTGCTCTCTGGCAGGGCAGCTCTGAGCCATGACTTAGCCCCTCCGAGATCGGCTCCTTCACCCAGGAAGGCAGAGGGCAGTAGGGCTCTGAGGCCAGGCATGCACGGAATCTGCCATGTAGAAAGTGCTTCCTACAGAGTGACCTCATAATGGATGGGACCTGGTTTCTCTTTTTGGAAAGTTTTGGAAGCTAAAGGCCACCTGCTTGGAGGTAGGAGACAGGCCGGGCTGACTGCCAAATTCTCCTTCCAGACGGGAATGGAGGGCTTTGAGCTGCTGGGTGAGTCACTGCCACCTGTGACCGGTCTGGGCTGAACCACGTGAACTTGTGGGGCCCAGTGCAAGCTGAGGGCATGGGGTCCACTCCTGGGCACCCTCAGGACCTCCCAGCAGTCACAGCTCCCGACACACTCCTGGTGACACTAGGAAAGGAAACCACACACTTCGGTCCCCCTCGGACTGGGACACACCCAGCCTGATTGTGCCCATGTTAGAGATGTGGAAACGGAGGCACAGAGGACAGACAATGGTGGTACAGCCTCTACAGGCCCCTGTACCCTGAGATCTGGGGGACCTCCCTGCTGGCCTGTCCTTCAGAAGGTGAGACTCCAGCAGCGCCCGATGGGGTTAACCCGGATGCAGAGGCTGGGCAGAGGGATTTACACCCCACGTGGCCCCGCCTTCCCACTGCTCCCACTTCCTGTGGCAGGCTGGGCAGGGCCTGGCCAACTTGCTCCCGGGGCCAGGGGCCAAGAGTTAACGTCAGGAGGCAGCTCGGGAGAGTCTGAGAGCAAAAGGACATGTCAAATCAATCATATTTAAACAAAAGCCTCTCCCGCCCAAGGGCCCTTTTAAAAGCTGCTTATTTAATTAAAAGTCCCATTTTCCATATTTATGGCCCTTATTCAGTTAAATATTAACCGCTGGGGCCAGGGCTGGTGTGTGCTTTGTGAGCGTGTGCAGGGAGGTTCATTACCACGGCCAGGATTTATCAGAGGTGGCGCAGGCAGGCAGCGCGATCAATGCCCGGCCTGGACAAACACGTGCGGGCGGGCGGCTCTGACGGGCGGGGACCTGGTTCTCTTCCTCTCTGTCTCTCTCGCTTCCATGTTCTAGGGATCAGTCCTAGCCGGACACAGAGACACCAAGAGACACGGACGCGGTGGGAGACCCAGGGAGATGCAGACCCAGCGAGAGCTGGAGACAGTGACGCTGAGAGACCTTGAGTCGGCAAGTGCTAGCGAGACCCTGTGTCTGGCTGAGTCTCCGTGAGGACCCGGACGTACTTCCTGAGGCCCACGGAAGCTGCAAATGTTGGGTCCCTTGCTGAGAAGTCATTGAGGTTCCAGGCCCCACCTTCCCACAGCCCTGGGCTGTGAAGGCGCACACTGTCTCTCCCGGGCGGGCGGGATGGCGGGGCGGCACACAAAGGGGCATGGGAAGGTCCCCCCTGCCCCTAGTTTGCTGGGGAGTTGGGCAAAGAGAGGAAAAAGGGGAAAACCAGTGTCTCGGACGGGTTAGAGCCCACCCTGCAGAGGGGCAGGGAGTCCCAACTCTGTAACTGCCTCTGTCATTTACGCGGGCTCCCTCTCCTTCATGCTGCCTCAGTTTCCCCATCTGTGAGATGGGGATAATGATAGACTCTCCCATGGGGGATTAAATGATGTAATTTTCATAAATAACACTCTGTGTGATCCCAGCCGGGCCATGGCAAAGGCCTCAAAGCCCCCTGGGCTGGCGTGGCTTCCACTCTGATCTTGACCGTGGGCCAGTCTCCCCGGTGGCCTGGCAGGGGTGACGGCTCCAGTGTGGATGTGGCCATTGTGTCTCCAGAACCAGGGGGCACTAGGGCAGGGGCCAGACCAGTGCAGCTATCTGGGATGGCATCTCCTATACCACACACCTGTACGCATGTGACCAGGCACGTACACACACATGCACACGCAGGCACATGGGCACATGGAAACACACACCCCGCCACACGTGCCCACGCCCCGCCATGCCTCTCCATCCGCATCCATCAGGGGCTCGCTTTCTCCCACCACTCCTCCTCCCTGCCCACAAAAGAAGAAAAAATCCTAAAAAGCCAGATTAGAACTTCACACACACATCGCCGGGAAAAATCTATGTCTCATTTTCATATCTAGCAGAATAAAATGACACCAGAGCCCTCCAGCAAGCCCCTAGAGGGGGCCGCGTGTCTGCGGAAGATGAAGGGCGGTAGGGGGAGACCCCTTTCCCAGGGGGCGAGGCCTCGGGCCTAGGGAGGAGAGGTGGGGAGGAAATCGATCAGGCCACTTTTCCCTGGGGTTGGAGCCTGCTCGTGTCCTGGGAAAGCCAAGGGGCTTGCATGGCAGGTAGAGAGAGGGAGAGAGAGAGGAGGAATAGAATCCCAGGGCTGGTGGTGTGAGCGAGGGAGAGAGAGAGAGAGAGAGAGGGAGAGAGGGAGAGAGAGAGAGAGGGAGAGAGGGAGAGACACCAGGTTATCAGAGAAGTGTGAAGACAATAATACAATCTGACATTTCTGAAACAAGACCCCCCGGTTGCCATGGCAACGTCTCCTGTGGGAGCAGCTCCCAGGAGACGGCTCCGAGATGTACTATAAATGATGTTTGATTAGAATTTAAATCATTTAGGCAGAGAGAAGATAGGCCTTTTGTCAGCAAGGGGACCTGGGGGTGGGGCCCGGGCTGTGGCGGGGGAGGGGGCGCAGTGAGCCAGGGCCTGGAGCGCCAGCCGGGCCGGGCCAGGGGCTGCGAGGTCGCCCGCCCGGGGTTGATTACTCCTGCCCCCGCGTCCTTCCCTGCACAGTAACCTTTCTCCGCTGGCCACAGGGACTTGGAGGGCAGGGGAGGGCAGGCCCAGGGGTCGGGCGGGCGTGGGGAGCGGGAGAGAGATGGGGGAGAGAAGGACAGGTGAGGGGAGAAAGAGAAGAGAGAGGGAGAGGGGAAGAGACGTGAGGAGCAGAGCACGAGAGAGGCAGAGAGAAGAGAGATCAAGAAAGAGACTGAGACACAGACGGTGGACAGAGAGGGAGGAGGGGAGGGAGGGAGAGAGAGGGAGAAAGAGAGGGAGGGAG